TTTTATTTTCATTGATTATTCTGACTGCAAAGAGTTTTGTTACTTTATTTGTTTTTAATGTTTGTTGGCTGTCTTGGTCTTTTTTTCTTTTAACAGACAGACAGGCAAATGATAGATAGATAGATAGATAGATAGATAGATAGATAGATAGATAGATAGATAGATAGATAGATAGATAGATAGATAGATAGATAGATAGATAGATAGATAGATAGATAGATAGATAGATAGATAGATCAAAAGAGAGAGAGAATGGAATATGGGTGGAAGTTTCACCAAGCCTGAGACTCTGGGTGAGAAAATGATCCCAGCAATGCTGGTTGCTGAAGATGGGCCCTCCTGCATTCAGAGTAAGTATTCTACCACTAGGCTACAGCCTTTTCCCTCAAAAACTCTTGACACCTTCATGTGTTGACTTGAGTATGCATCTGAAGAAGTGGGCTGCAGTCCACAAAAGCTTATGCCAGATTAATTTTGTTAGTCTTAAAAGTATCACAGGACTCCTAGCTGTTTATGCAGACAGTGTTTCTGCAAGACAGCATCATACATGTCCCATCCAGCCACTGATTTAGAGCTAGTAGCAAAGTAGATCTTCTTGTAAGCCAGAAACTGGTTCACTCTCGCTGTAGAAACTCTCCAATGTCACAAAGAGTGAAATAATATGGTAACTATATGAACCAAACAACTCTTAGCATCACCCATGAATTACCAGTCTCCAAATTCACTGAGGGAACCCCCTGAAATCAAGAGAAACTGTATTATTATGATTCCGTGCACAAACTCAAATCATAATTAAAAAAAAAAACAGGTCAGGGACGCATTTCAGTTTTGGAGTTCTGCAGGTCCTCATATTTTAATTTATATTAACAGAAAAGTCTCAGCCCTACCTTCTCAGTTAGACATTATTACTTCCAATGTGTATCACAACAACTTGCTTCATGGCCAGAAACCTCCTTAAGAAATAAATCTTGCAAATGTTATGTTTTTTAATTACAATTCTTAGCAACCCCCAGGTAGTACAGTATCATTGGTGGCCATGTGGGATTTTGCTAAAGAAATTCACAGCCCATCTATACTTGCTGAAAATCAGCAGTACTGCAGGGTTGTGTAGAATGATGGAGAAAGGGAGACACCCCATGGTTCTTTGTGTTATTTTTAAATATACAGAGTAGAAAGGGGAGATGCAAAGCAAAAGCCCAAAGAAGGGAAGAAAGCAGTGATAAACTGCCTTAGTTCAACTAAATATTTTTAATGTAGCATTAAGAAATTATATTTATACTGTGGTTGTCATATTGAATATAAAGCTGTACTTTTGTAAATTTTGAAGAGCAGGGGAATTCTACGTATAGAATTAAATCCAAGTTAGGTCATATGTTAAAGCCTTCTAAAAATTCTAGCAGGATACAACAGCCTTTCAACTCATTCCAAAAACCAATGGCTATATCTTTTCATAAGGCAAGATGTGGGTCCATCTGAGCAAAGAAGATACTGTATTGTTCCCTCCTATCTCCCTATTGACCAGAAAGGGTGGTAGAGAAGACATACTTTTCTTCTTAGTATGGAATCAACTATAATAGGGTGGAAACATACTCAGCCAACATACAATATTATTCAGTCTGATTGCATATTAAACATCAAGGATTGCACTTCAGTGCCATTTCAAACAAGGAAGAAAGGACAAAATCAGAACGGCTTGACACTACCTACTGATAACTTTGGCTCTCCTTCCATTGGCCACTCTTGTTCTATCAGTGGCTACCAGTAGCCACTAGTAAGAACACTGCTAAATGTGCAATGGCTCCTTGTGACTGCTGTAATTCATGGGCATGCGTGCCAGTTGTGATCTCCTATTATCTTTCTGCATCCCCATGTACAGTGTCAGCTGAACCTGCAAGCCTGTTCAGATGACTTTGTAGCCTAGGTTGCACAACAATGCAATCTGATCCAAAGAAGAATTGGAGCTTTGTCTCCTATAAATGTAAACAAGGCTTCTATGGTATTCCCCACTAAGGAAACAATAGTGACCAGGAATAACGGGAAATCTCGTGTTTTTTTAAAAAATCCAGATAGAGCATGAAGCCGAGAGAGATGAAATGTGTTGCTTGCAAAGATTGTCATAGAGAGACTAAAGTGATGTAATACAGAAACCCACATTGTTACAGAGGGTGTAAGGAGTTATTTTTCACTTGGCAGGGGTCCTTACACATTAAGCATTTAATGTGGAATTAATGTGGAAAAATTCATTTACATATTATTTTCTTTATGAATTAATTGCTCTCCTATATGTTCAAATTGCAGAGCATCTTTTCATTTTAATAAGACAAGAACACAATCTCCACCTTAGCATAATTTCTTCATCTTTTATTGAAGCATGGAATCTCTCATCCGGCATTTATAATGTCAGGAAAAAGGAACCTTTCAGGGCAAGAGAGCCCTAAAAGGCAGTGCACAACACAACGGGCATCCCTACTGTTATCTCTGATCAATGACTGTAGTTAACAGCAGAGATTCCTCTAGAAGCTGCTGGGAGGGGAACACAGGGGAATCCATGCTGTTAACTTCAATCATTCATCAGAGGTAACAGTATGGGACTCCCATTGTGTCACTATCTTTGTCAATGAGCCCCTCGCAAAGGCAGCACTGCCCTTAGCTAGCATATACCTGGAAGTGTCAGCTGAGTATAGTTTGCTTTTCTCCTGCCTTCATAGGCAGGAACAGAGGAGGAGGAGGAGGAGGAGATGACCCAGGCATGGGAACAGTTTAACCTGGACTGGGTCTTTGTTTGAACTGAGATATGAGCCCTGCCAAGTGCATTCAGGTCAGCTGGTATCTCTTGTGCTATCAGAAATGGATTCAGAATACATGCTCCAGGTGCCACAGACTGGTGTTTTATTCCACTGCCAGAAGGGAATGATGTAAACGTCCCACCACCATCCCACTCCTGCACACTCCATGTCATGTACTGATTGTTCCTGCAAGCCAGTCAGGCAGGAGATTTAGGACAGCCATGCAGCACAGGAGATCTGATGCAGTCAGCAGTTGGCAATCCCATATGTAGCCCCCTAGGAGCCACTTGGCTCAGCTCATTGGTTATAAAAATTCAGAGGAAAAGGCTGCAATAGTAACATGTCCATTTAAAAAGAAGAGGATTGACAAAACAGGAGGTTCTATTCCCTCTGAGCAGGAATCTGGCTCTTATCATCTTTGTGTAGGTAACAGAATGTCAATACATGTTTGCAGGAGGGACAACTGAAGGGCAAATTCTTGCTGTGACAATCTGTATTTGCGCTTGGCCATGTTGTACAGTATTTTAGGGTTTGAAATACTTTGTCTCCTGAACTACCTGCTTTGAGCCCTGCATCATTGTATAAGAGTGAGACTGAAAGATGCAGCTGTTTTGAAATTTGGTCCCTGGTGCACCTGGATTACAGTCAGTTTGGGGGACTTTATTTTCTGTGGGTGACTCCTGCTCTAGCAGCTTGTTTGTGGATGGAATTCATGGGCATAAGTGTTTTTATGGTAACGTCCAATTTCAGCTGAATTTGCATTATTGTTGTTACTCAAAATCTCACGTTTTTTAATGTTCATTTAGAAAATCATAGAATCGTAACACACAAACACCTTGATCTTTGCAGGATCCCACCTGTCTCTGGTGCATTCATATGATACATGCATTGTCTCTGTGCTTGATGAAGGGATGTGGATAGGGTTTCCTTTCTCAACCAGAGCACAAACTGAGTTGGGTTGACTTCAAAACAGGACTCTTGTGTGATAGGATGGAACAGGATTTGAAGTCTGGGCTCCTCCATTTTCTGTTCTCTACAGCGTGCATAAGATGATGTTGCCTCCAAAGTGTAGAGAGGACTCAGTGTGAGTGGATGTGACTGGATGAATTCAATGGTGAAAAGCCTCCTGTGATGTTCAGAAAGACAGGCTTATCAGGGAAATTGGGAAGGATGGGGTGGGTGGAGATGAATCCTATGGATTGTCAGGTATTGGCTAACTTCAGTCTTGAGGATAGGATGATTGTGAGTGCAGTACTTAGGGGTTGAGAACCTTTTCTAGAGGACTGTACCAGGCCCCTGATAAACTGTGTGCTTACTGCCTGTGCTACTGAGACTCAAGTTAGGAGACCTTTTGTATGTGTGGCATGATGTGGTGTTCAGGGGTCATTCCAGTCATGTCTCTAGATTGCCTGGCATGGGCTCGCAATCTAGGCCGCCAAAGTAGGCTGCAGATGCACCTGGCATTTTGTGTGTGTGTTTGTATGTGTACTGTATTAATTTCTCCCTTGTTTTCACATCTTCTCTTGTTGTTTTCATTTCTCACGTAAAGAATTTACTGTACTAATAAAGCACATCTTAAATCTAGCTGCCTTGAACACTTTATTTTGGCAGAAAGGTAGAATATAGATTTAAAAAAAATCTTCAGTTGGAAAAATTCCCACTGATTTCAATGTAACACCCTTCGGGTCTGAAGTTCAGAGAGACGGAGAAAGATTTTAAACTAAACAGATTGTAACTAAAGCTATTTTGACATCATCAAAAAGCACAGACACAGAACTGAGATTATAGCAAATTCCGACCAAAATGTTCTTTACAAATGAGGATGTTCCTTAGCAAGTTCTTATCCACACAAGCAGAGGATTTTCAGGGAAAAAAACACTTCCAGGTCTTTCATTTGGTGAGCTATTAATAAAATACGAATTTTAATTAAACCCTTTTATATCTGATTGCAGGATTTTATTCACACTATTACAAGACCACTCGTATTATACTCATATTCTTCCCAACAGATCAAGTGAAGGGTAAATATTCAATTGGTCTCCCTATATACATTACCCTCATTCATTCTCGCTTTCCAACAAAGCCTTATCTTCCTTCTTATCAAATTATTTGTGAGTTAAAAGAGGTGACAAGACTTCATTCAGCCAAGAGGCGAGGACCCCTCCCCATGGCTTTAACAGAAAGTCTGCCATACGGCCCACACATTCTCGTTGGATGTACGCGCACAGAATCCTGAGCGTCTTGCTTAAAAAGGCCCACCGACGTCACAGGCCCGAAGGGATGCGATCTCGAATTCTGAAAGGGCGGCGGCGAACGCTCATCCTTGCCCGGCCGCTGGGCACCATCCCGCCCCCGCGGCTCCCCGCTCTCACACCTTTGAGCGGTGCGGGGTGGGGGGCGCGGAATCCACGCGGAGGGCC